TGTTAATACGCCCTCCTCCAATCCTGATACCTCACTCTTCTTCAGACAGCCTACTTGTCTGATGATGTGCTCAGCACACAGAATAAGTATGCTGACAGGAAAACTCCCCGTTGCTCACCTTTCCTGATTTTAGACCATGCGGTATTTCCCTTGTTCTATTCACACAACTGCCTCTGGATCCGTGGACAGGTTCCGTAGGAGCAGAGTCAAGTGTTCTGGAATTCCCAGTCTTCCCAAAGTGTCCGTAGTGCGTTGTGATCCGCACAGTCAAAGGCATAGTCAATGAGACAAAAGTAAACACCTTTCTCGTGTTCTCCCCTTTTAGCCCCAATCCCCCTGAAACTGGCAAGGGTATTGCTTAGTTCACCTCTCCTGAACCCGGCCTGAGCGCTCTTGCAGCTCCTGTCCGTGTACCACTGCTTCTGAGCCTCTGTCTGTGCCACACTGGAACATTGGGAGGTGAAGGAGGTGTCGGTGGGCCCTTGCAGCAGGGCCTGGGTGGACAGGCCAGCCCGGAGTGGGCTGCTGCGGCCTGTGCCCAGGGCCTGCCTTACAAGGTTCTGAGAGGTGAAGCGAGCGAGCGGATGAGTGCTGAGTACCAGGAGCAGCTCGGGGCCCTCCTGCAGTATTCTCTCCCCGCCTCATCACTGCTACGTGGCCCTGATTGTTGGGTACCAGCCTGATGACGCCCTCAGATCCCAGACGCCAGCAGCAGCCAGACCCGTTCCTGCCCCAGCTCCCCCCAGCGTCTGCTGTGTGCCCCTGAGCAAAGCCAGCCTCCTCTCCCAGCCTCGACTCCGTACTGTGTCAGAGAAGGCTGGTGGCCCTCGCATGGCAGGTCTAGGGTGAGGACCCAGTGGGGAACCGTTTTGTACGGAGTCCACCCGGAGGATCGGACAGGAACCCGGTTTCCCCAGTGCCGTCTGCACTTCCCATCCTCCCCCCGCCCCTGGGGAGCACACCCGGGCCCTCTGAGGCTGCCTTCTCTCAGCTGAACAGCTGAGCCTATCTCTGTGGCCTTTTGTTACAGTTTGGCCTTCAGATCTCTGCTCATGCCCACAGACTGGCTCGTTTCTCTGACCTGCACTGGGGTTCTTGACTCCGGTGTCAGCCACATGGACCCCTTTATGCACCCGGCTGCACGCCTGCCTGTTTGGTGCTGGCACATGCAGACGTGTACATGAAGCACAGGCACATCTGCGACTCCTAGGGACATCCACGTCCAGCATCTTGGGGAGTGTTGACACATGACAGGCTGTGTCCTTCCATCCAACAGTATGGATTGAGCCCTGCCTCTGGCCCGGGCATCTCCCTGGGCACTACGGGCATCACAGGGGTGAGAGAGGCCAGTGCCTGCCCTCTTGAAGCTCACGACGTGGAAATGGTGCGCAGGCAGAATAAGAATGGCCCGTGATGAGTCGCAGGAAAATGATAAGATAGGTTGGGGTCTAGAGCAATGGCCAGGGGGCTTTCTTGTAGAATGGTTGGGGGCTGAGATCAGAGGCACAAGAAGGAACCCTGTGGGAAGATGTGGGGGAAGTTCCAGCAAGGGGCACAGTAGGGCAGAGGCCTTGAGGGAGTCAGGGGTCCTGGCGTGGGAGAGCCTGCGGGAAGCCAGCATGGCTTGCAGTCCAGGAGAGGGGAGGGCGGAAAGGCTGGGCACCCTGTGGCTTGGTGCCCATCGCAGGGACTTGGGCTTTTACTCTGGGAGCCTGAGTATCCATTCGAGGAGGGCTTGCGCGTAAGATGATTGGCATTTTGAAGCAGGGCCCAGCTGGGCGTGTGTGGTGTGGTGTGGGCGGCCCTGGGACTTGTGGGCTCCCAGGTCGGAGCGGTGGTTCTGGGTCCCAGGAGTCCAGTGTGGGTGGGTGGGGGTTAGGTTTGGGAGCCACAGCCAGGGGCCTCCCTCACCTACTCATCTTCCCCGCCCTGCAGACCTGGACGAGTGTGCACTGGGCACCCACAACTGCTCTGCAGCTGAGACCTGCTACAATCTCCCGGGCAGCTTCCGCTGCCTGCGCTTTGACTGCCCGCCCAACTATGTCCGGGTTTCAGAAATGTGAGTAACCCTCGCAGCCTGCCTGGGGGAACCCTGCCTGGACTCTCCCCCACCCCCTACCCCCTCCACTGCCCACAGCCCCTGACTTTGGCCCTTGTGAACAAAAGCAAACGAGTATGCATGGCTAGAGCTCAGACCGTAGCAAAGAACACCGAGGAAAGAGGTCCAAGGACAATCTCTCTCTGTCGGGTGAGGGGTCCCCAACACTCGAACGGGTCCTCAGGAGCAACTTTGCGATGGTGGAAAATATACAGACATTGGGGCACAGGGGCTCCTCGCCCCATGTGAGGACAGAGAGAGAGAGAGAGAGAATGTATTTTCCAAGGGGTATATGTAGTGGGGCTGACAGATCTCTCATAAGGCATGCATGTCCTCCTGCAGCTAACATCAGACATAATCAATAGGTAATATCATAAACAGGTAACAATAAACCATCAATGAGATCATCAAATTGGTGATCACCAAATTTCAGAGAGTCAGTGTGGCCCGTCCCGTGAGTCAGTGGTAGAACCGGTCCCCGAGCCTGGGCCAGCGCAAAGATGGATGGAGTGGGTGGGGGTGGACGCAGGGGCCCCGCTGACCGCCGCCCCGCCGTCCCTGCAGGAAGTGTGAGCGTACCACCTGCCACGACCTGGCCGAGTGCCAGAACTCCCCGGCACGCATCACATTCTACCAGCTCAACTTCCAGACTGGCCTGCTGGTGCCTGCACACATCTTCCGAATCAGCCCGGCTCCCATCTTCGCGGGGGACACCATCTCCCTGACCATCACCAAGGGCAACGAGGAGGGCTACTTTGGCACTCGCCGGCTCAACGCCTACACGGGCCTGGTCTACTTGCAGCGCTCCGTGCCCCGGCCCCGGGACTTCGCCCTGGAGGTGGAGATGAAACTGTGGCGCCAGGGCTCCGTCACCACCTTCCTGGCCAGGATGCACGTGTTCTTCACCACCTTTGCCGTGTGAGGCCTCCGGCCTTGCGGGTGGGGCCCCTGTGTGCGGCTCCCCTGGGAAGCACTGGGAAAGCTTTCCATTTCCAAACCGCCTTGGTGGGGGGGTGGGGGTGGGGGACAGATATGATCGTGTGTTTTTTTTTTATTGGAACTTTGTAAATTAACTTAATTTTGCTGGCTTGATTCCTGTGGGGCTCCCCAGCCTCCGCATGCCCTGCACGGAGGGGGTTGGAGTGGGAGGGGGTGTTCCTACATGCATGCGTGGGGGGAGCTTTGGGGACAACTTCAAGGTCACCGCCCGAGTCCTTACCTTCCGGTGGAGTCGAAGGGAGGCTCCTGCAGAAAGGAGACAAATGGCCTTGCTGGGGCTTTCAGACGTGACTGGATGACCTGTCTGTCCCAGGGGGACATGTACCCTGCCATCTTCCACCGAGATTAGTTCTTTACCTTCCTTTAAAAAGATAATCACTGTTGGTTTGGTTTTGTCTGTTTAAGCTGTTAAAGTCATGTGTGTACATTGTAAAAAACATTCCGAGTAAAGGGGCCCTGGCTTTTCCGTGTTGGGAAACAGTGTCTGCAGGGCACACGGTCCCGAGCCTGGCCTGGTATCGGGATGTAGCTTACACCCCTTTGCACAGATGGGTGGCCTTCAAAAGGAGCTCACCATGCGGGTAAGACAGCCAGCCAGACAGACGTACAAGCAGATGCTCTCTCTGTGATGCTTTTTCCACTTCCTCCTCCTCCTCTCCCAGTGTGCACCTCTGCTGGCCTGTCCCTGGAATACCCTCCAGGACTGTACTCCCACCCTCGGGGCTTACAGTGGACGGGAGCAGGAGCCTGGGGGAGGACTCCGTTTCTCCAGTGTGGGCTGCCCGGGCCTCAGGCTGGGGCACAGGGGGCTTCGGAATCTGGGGAGTTAAGGGCCTGAGGGAGGGAACATGCCCTAGGTGCCTAGGTAGTCGGAACAGGTACCTGGACCTGCATGGGAGGAGCCCATGCACTTGGCTCCACCCTCCCCCTGGCTGCTGGCTGCCCCAAGCTCTTTGGATGCCAGGCCATGCTTCCCAACGTGGCTCTGGAGATGAGTGTAGTGGGTCCTAGCCAGCATGCAGGAAAGGTAAGAATCGGGTCCCGGAACAGTGAATGGTTGTGTGTGCATGCAGGTGTGCACAGCATACATGGCTGTGTGCGTGCCATCTCCAGTCCGCTTATAGAATGTGTTTCTGATTGTGAGCTGTTGTCAGGGAAGAAGTGGCCGGTGGACTGGGGCAGCCAGCAAGCGGAACACTGACCCTTGTAGCTGTGCCGTCTGGGGATGGAGCTCAGGTGGCCAACACTCTGGTCTGCACAAAGGCAGCCTCCTCCTGCCTCCTCCCCTCCTCTTCCTGCTGCTGCTGCTGCTGCTGGAGAGTGAGCAGCAGAAGCAAGGACTCCCTCCTGGGGACGCGGCTGCACCTCTGATACAGCAACCCTGGTGGCAGGTGTTCAGAAAGGTGATTCCATGCAAGAGCAGGGCAGGCTTTAGGGTTAAGGATGCCACAGGGCCTCGGGAAGCTGGCCTGCTCTGGCATGGTCTCCCTCTGTGTGACTCGGGCATGTGCCACCTCATAGCCTCACAGGTCTGCCCTGCACATACCAGGGGCATCCCGTCCTGTGCCGAATCCTGTGGCTCTCAGAGAACATGTCCTTCTGACCTTGGGAGTTTCCAAGACGCCACGATTCTAGAGTTCTGTGCTCTGGGGATCTTTAAAGAAGTCAGCCTGCTCACTTGCGCAGTGAAAGGCGAGAAGTTCAAGTCTGCTCCAAGGTGCCTGAGAAGAAAGGCCAGAGGTCCCGCCCTCGACAAGCCTGCGGAGCCCAGGCCCGCTGTGCGCACCAGGCTGCCATGAGTGGAAACGCGCCCCACAGCATGTGCTGTTTATGCGGAGACTGAAAGGAAGTTGTGTGTGTCCCTTGTCAGCCTCGGCCCCACTGCAGCCCGGGGGCTTCCACGCAGCCCTGAAAGAGGGCTTCTCAGAGCATTCGGGCTGTCCACCAGATCCCACCGTGAGCAGGTGTCCAGCTCAGGGGGAGCCCCATAAATGTCAGGCCGTGACTCCCTTTATTCAAGCCCCTACCTGGGCCCTCACCCCCCTCCAGGGGGTGCCCCAGGTTTCCACTAGGAAGCATTCACGGAGAAGAAGCGGGCCTGAGAGCAAAGTGGGTCCCCTTGTTTCTCTGAAGGTAACGAAGCGAACAAAGATGCCTTCAGCCCAAGAGCAGTGTCTCCCTGGAGGGAGGGAGGGCGAGAGCAAGTGCCTGCTTCCTTTTGGTTGGACACCCAGCTGGCTCCCACGGGTTGTGCCTTCCCTAAGACAGCAGTCCGGGGGTGGGGCTCCTTCCCAGAAGCTCCCGCTGCCGAGCACTTACAGCTCACCCATCCTGGCGGCAGTCCTTTGCCCGCTCCGTGGTGACCGTGTCTCCGTGCCACGTGCCCGCCACTGTGTGAGGTGCCAGGGCGCTGTGAACAGGGGCGAGGTCTCTGGAGGGTGGCTGGCTGTGGGAGGGGTTTTCCCTCTAGCTGAGCCCATCCCCTGGTTCTCACCAAGCCACTCCTCCCGCTGGCCGGCCATAGCCAACAGCAGAGCACCAGAGGGACCCCTGGGCAGAGCTGACCCAGAGACACCCAACTCTCGCCCACCTTCCCTTTCTCTTTCTGAAGAACGCCACCCATCGAGCACAACCTCACGGCAGCCCGACGGAGACCATCCAAGGCCTTGGAGCCACCGCCGCCTCAGCAGACTGGCCCACTCCCCCATAGACTGCCGCAGACGGGCCACCCTCTGCCCAGCCTGCAGTCCCTCTTCCCTTGCGGTCCTGGGTTGTCCACCCTACAGTTTGGCCTCCTCCTCCCCAGTGTCCCTATTGGGCATTTCCCCCAATCAGATGCCCTGCTTCTAACGACATCCCAGACGGTCACCCACCTCACCCCGCAGCACCGCCCTCGTGTGGGGTGTGTGCAGACACGCCACTGCTCAGCCAGTCAAGAGGTTGGCCTGCCCTGGGTGGCAGCTGGGGCACAGCTGTCCCTGCCACGAAGAGGCCTCTCAGTTGCTGGTGGTTTTACTAGCAGTGGCCTGGCAGGGGCGAGGAGGGCCGTGCAGCAGACATTTAGAAGGGTGGAGGGCAGAACCTGCTGCAGGACAGCCGGGGCAGCCGGTGCAATCCCTTCCCAGGGCTGCTGGGACATCATGCCTCCAACGGACTGGCTCCCGTCTTCACTGTCTCCCCTTCTGAGGGGTTTCCCTCACGCCTTTCTCCTTGCTTTGGGGGCCGGCAGTCACTCTGATTCTGCCCCGGTGGTCACATGACCTTCCCGGCTTCCTTCGTGACAACACCACTCAAGACCCACAGTCTACCGGCACGAGCAAATGCCAGCCCAGCAGGCCCCCTATGAGCAAGGGCACGCTCACAGGCCGGGGAGAGGGGTGGGGGGGGTAGGATGCCAACCTGTCTTTCTCCTTGTGTGTGGGGTGGGACACAATTTGCCGTGTCACAGAGGGACACTACTAAGCGGTGTTGATGGTCTGCAGAACAAGCCCCAGGGGGCTGTGGACCATCCGCTCATGACTGCTTGGCGGCTCACAGGCAGGAGGGGGGACACGGTGGGTGGCAGGTTGGACACCTGCTTGTGGAGCCACCTAGCTGCAGGCATGTCTGAGCACTCAGCCAGAGCCTGTCCGGTGACATTCGGGCCACTAGCGAGGAGCCGGAGGTCCCAGACGACGTGGACCGGCACATCGGGAGGACGATGACCGTGGGCCACACTGGAGCTGCCGCTGGGCGTCCCAAGGGGCTCTTTCCTTCCTCATCGGCATGGTTGGTCCCTGCTGGACTCAGAGCATCGTTCCCACGAAGCACCCGGCACCTTCCTCCCCAGCTGCCAGCCCACTTTCTCAGAGTATCATTAACTGCGGTCTCATTGGCCCTCGCTCTTGGGATTCCTACGCAGAAGACAAAACGCTGCCTGGCCTCTTGCCATCTGCCACCATCGCTGGTGTGCCCAGCCCGTGGGTGTGCTGCTCCGCTGCGTGACCCGCTGTCTGGGAGGCGCGTTTCCTGGCGCGATTGCACACGGCATCCTGCTGCAGTCTGCGGGGTTCTCATGAGTGGGCTCTGGCCAGTCCGTGTGCAGGCCTTTCTTAGTCTCCGTGTGGAAGCCCCACTGAAACCTGTGCCCCAAGGGGGACCCTGTCGGTATTTGAAACACCAGTGCCATAGCCCCCGTCTTCACAGCCCCACGGACGTCCACCCCAGCACAACAAGCTGACAGGTCTGGGACCGGCTGCTGAACGTCTAACCTGATGGTTGGGGAGACGTGCTGAGCCTGAGGAGGAGGAGCAGCTAGACCCCGCCGGGTTCTCAGGAACGAGCTGGGTGCTGAGGGTGACTCGGGAGGTGGTGGAAGCAGGGCTTCGTTGATGGCAGTGGGGAAGTTGGAGGACAGCCTTTATTGCAACACAGGATTTCATGCTCTGGTAAGGTCATGCATGGTGCGTAACTGTGAGCCTAAAGGTTAGCAGAGTGGACAATCCCGCAGCGGTTCCATTAGAAGACAGCGCTGGTGACCCACGCCACTTCTACCAAACTTACAGCTGGAGCTGCATGCAGTGGGATTGGCTTTCAGGCTCTCCGTCCAGGGGTGGGGGCTGCGGGGGGCAGACACACTCACTGCAAAGGAGGCTCTTGATGACCTCGAAAAGGTGATGGTGACCTGTGACCTTGGCATGAGAGGTTCTCCCGGCATTGGACAGGGCCCAGGTCAGCTCCGCGGCAGGTCCAGGCTGCAGGCAGTTGGCCCTGTCCGTTGGGCCATCCACAGACTGGTGCTGGAGGGGTCCGCAGTGGGAGGAGATGAAACACACTTGTGGCAAGGCCCGGCAGGGGCCCAGTGGAGGCCCTGGAGGTTCTGGGTTCGGACCATGCCCTCTGCCCTGTGCTCATAGCGTGTTAGGTCCCTAAGGACAGAGAACACTGAATCATGGGTGTGTCAAGAGACATTCCCTGGGACCACTGGACCAAGCATTGAAGCCCATAAAGCTGCGTGGGCTCACTT